ATATATATATATATATATATATATATATATATATATATATATATATATATATATATATATATATATATATATATATATATATACATTTTTTTTGCATTAAAAATCTCTATAACTTTAACCGTTGAAATAATGTTTACGTTCTTAATTCCATTTCTGCGCGCGCTTAAACTTTATATCGTATTTTTTGTCAACAATAATTGAAAAATGACGTTGAAATAACGTTAAATAATCAACGTTTAAACTGTAACGTTGATTTAACGTTGAAATAACGTTAAATAATAAACGTTTAAACGGTAACGTTGATTTAACGTTGTGAAATAGTTGAACAACGTTGAAACAACGCTTCAACCGAATTTCAACGTTGAAACAACGTAATAATGCCGGCTGGGATATATATATATATATATGTATATATATATATATATATATGTATATATATATATATATATGTATATATATATATATATATATATATATATATATATATATATATATATATATAATATATATATATATAAATATATGTATATATATATATATATATATATATATATATATATATATATTATATATATATATATATATATATGTATATATATATATATATACATATATATATATATATATATATATATATATATATATATATATATATATATATATATATATATATATATATATATATGTATATATATATATATATATATATATATATATATATATATATATATATATATATATATATATATATATATATATATATATATATATATATATACATATACATATATATATATATATATATATATATATATATATATATATATATATATATATATATATATACATATATATATATATATATATATATATATATATATATATATATATATATATATATATATATATATATATATATGTATATATATATATATATATATATATATATGTATATATATATATGTATATATATATATAACAACCATTTTATACTTAAGCTGCTTTCACTCTACATGTTAATACCTGAATTACTTTAACTTTTTCTAAAAAAAAAGGTTGTTTGATACAACGTTTTTTCTAATCTGTCTAAAATTATGCCTACTTTTTATATCTTGTTAGAGTCACACCACACATCCATCTGATCATTTTCTCTTTCGACAAATACTACACCATATAAATACTAAAGTTTATACAACAATGAAATGATATTGTATGCCAGCATCTAAACAAATAGCAAACAGATATGCTTATATCCATAAGATGTGTGCAAAAAGTGCATCTATGAACCTTATATTGCTTCTGGGATAAAAGTTTGGAAGCTTTTAATACTTCTCTTCAGTTTTAACTCAAGCCTTATTCTACTCAACATCTTTCAACATTAACTACGTTTTTCAGCTTTTGTATAAGTACATTTCTCTAAAGAAAAAATTGCCCTTTTTATTATTGCAATAAGCTAATGTATAAATAAAGTCTTGTCTGATGAAAATCTCTGTTATTCTCAGTTTACTAAACCTTGTATCTTATCTTAGATGTTGATTCTAGAGACTTTAGGTTAGTTTTCAACAGTGTTATTAACTAAAGTAAGTCTAACGTTTAATCTCTAACTTATATGTCTTATATTTTTACTTTACCCATGAGTAAAACAGAGCTATTTACAAGGAAATCGTACTCTAGTTTGACTCTGGAATATAACGGACATACTTCCTGACAGTAAAATAATTTTGCTAAACTTTATATTAATCCATTTTTAAACATCGAAATTGCTCTAGCTTCCAATACTAAAACTAATTCTCAATTAAACACATCTACAATGTGTGCTTCAGACAAGATTTCCATCATAGTTTTAAAAAAGTGTTCTCCAGAACTATCTACAATTTTCGCTAAACTTTAAAAAAGTGCTAAATACGTGTTTCCAATTTTTCAAATCCCTAGAAAACACTTTGACATCTCCAAGTATCCTACGATTCTTCTTCACTTTGTTATTAGTTTCTTATAATTTTCTATGAAATGGTTTTGAGGTAATTAAATTACTTCATTCTACAGTAGTGAAGTTATTCTTGAAGGCCTACCCTATTTATTTCAAGTAACTTTAAGGTTCTATATTTGTTCCTGTAATATTTTTTATCTACAATAACAATCATAATGAAATCTAAAGTGGCTCTCTTTGCTGATGACTTCACTTTATACTCTTGTCTTGACAATAAGTCTTCACTTTTTAATTGCTTAGAACAAGCAGCAAATTTTAAATCTGATCTCTCTTCTGTAATAACCTAAGGCTTGTTGTGTCTAACGGATTTAAATTCTGGACTTAAAATCCACAATTTTTGTTAGACAACAAAATTCATTTATTTACTACAAAAAAATATTGCAATATTGTTGGTATTCCTAAATTGACAATTAAAAACACTATAATTATTATTTTATAATAATAATGATAATATATAACTAGCTGTCATGACCCGTAAAATACGGGTCTTTAGGATATTGATGCACACTTTATTCGCGTGCTTACAGTTCATAAGAACTATTATCCGGTTTATAACGCAAGAAAATCTCAATCAAATGAAAACATCTTAATGATAACTTTTAATCTCCTAGATACGAAGATTAAACTTATTGATTGCGTTAACACTAACTTTAACATAAATGGCATTTGCGAGACACTTTTTGCAACTTTTTCAAAATTTAATGGTGACTCTAAAATGCTAAAGGATAGGGGGGAGACGCTTTTTTTGAAAAAATATTTATACGCACTCCAAACTTACCAAGCCACACCAACCCTCGTTTATTAATCTTTACTTATGAAGTCTCCTTAAAAATAACAATTGAAAATAGGCATTTTCCCTTAAATTCTAAAATATTTTAATTAAAACTGAGAAAATTGTTTTTATTTCAATAAGTGATAAAAAACAGAAACTTTCAGCGTAGAATCAGTTTTAAAAGTCATCGACCTAGTAAATCTGGATTTGTCGAAAATGGGCTTTATTTTTCACTAAATCTAAATTTTATTTTAGCACCACTATAATTTATATTAGCATTTCACTATTTTCTCACTAAAATTTATATTAACATTTCAAATTTCAAATATTTAAATTAAAACAGATTTTTAAAAATGTTGATTTGACTTTGAGCCACGTTTTAACTAAATTGCGTTATGGTGCTTTGTAAAAAGTATTAGTTGAAATTTTATATTTAACTTACATTCCAACCCCATTTCATATATTAGATTTGGACTAAAATTCCTACAGGACCCTTTTTGAAAAAAACTACAGTAAAAAGAGGATTTTAACCATTTATTAAACTATATCAAACTTACGAAGCAAAAAAACTCTTTACTTGTTCCGTAACAAAAACTTGTTTTTAGCACAAATTAGTGACAAAATTTTGCAAGCAAAAATCAAGGGGAGAGGGTGTTAAGAAATGGTGTTAAGAAAATAAAAACTATCGTTATCGTTGTTGCTTTTTATAGCTATATTACTATTAAGCCAGAATTATAAAATCGAGGAAAAAGAAATCTTTACTTAACTTAAAAATTTCAAATGTTTTATGTAAAAGTTTTTAAATTTTTAAAAATGTTTTTGTAAACAAATATAAACAACAAAATTTTTTTTGTGAATATATTTGATTTAATGTTAAAGACTTCACAACTTGGTTCGTTGCAAAATCACTTCACTGATTCGAAATAGACAGTCTAAAAGAAACAACTACGTAGTTATTATTACAATATTTATTAACAATCAACGATGAAATGTAATTCCAAAAAAAAAAGTAATTAAGGTAATTACAGATTATGGTCAAAAAATGCTAAAAAGGTATAACTTACTTTGACATAATATTTGGTTCGTAGAAGGTCGTATATTTATTTGGACGCCAAAAGTAAAGTTAATTTTTATAACAAATAAACTAAAATTTAAAATCAAATATAAGCAAAATAAATTTGTTAAACTAATTTTTCTTAGCTCTTAGTGAATGATTAAAAGTAATTAGTCTCAGCAATAAAACTATCTAATAATCATTTTTAACAACAGACACCAACGTGAAGGTGAGCTAAGGAGTATGTCAAAAAAATATTTGTGCTTTTCTATTAACATATGAAGCACATCTCTTTAATACTTTCATTTCATGTAATTGTCAATTGTCAACTGTTTTTTTATAAGTAACAAAGAATGGCTTTGCAGTAAAAATATCCAGTATCAAAGACTGTTTTTTTTTCTCCCAGTATCAAAGACTGGTTTTTTGACCAGTATCAAAGACTGGTTTTTTAACCAGTATCAAAGACTGGTTTTTTCCCAGTATCAAAGACTGGTTTTTATTGGAGTATCAAAGACTGTTTTTTAACCAGTATTAAAGACTGGTTTTCTAACCAGTATCAAAGACTGGTTTTCTAACCAGTATCAAAGACTGGTTTCTGGCTTAGCAACAACAAAAACAGTAAGTCAAAAATAAAATTGGCTGTGTTGTTATTTGTCAAAATGTATTGTCTCTAGTAGTAAAAAAAAAAAAAATAAATTAATTAAGTACATTTGTAAATACAACATTTTGTGTGTAAAATTTGTTTAATGACATACCTTGTAATGAATGTTTATCAACTTTAAAAAATAAACTTTTAAACGATCTTGTTCTTGAACATGCAACATATAATTGACCGTGTGAAAAGCAAGGCTTTTTAAGATAAACTCCAACTTTGTCAAAAGTTTGACCTTGACTTTTGTTTATGGTCATTGAGTATGCTAACCTAACTGGAAACTGACGACGTTTGAGTATAAAGGGTAAATTTGAATCCGATGGAGCTAATTGAACTCGAGGAACAAAGATCCTGTTACCAGCTGCTACCCCTGTTAGAACCTGTCCATCAATATAATTGTTTTGCAGTGCACGTACCATCAAACGTGTTCCATTACAAAATCCGCCTTTAAGATCTAAATTTCTAAGTAGCATTACAACAGCACCAATTTTTAATTTTAGGCAATGAACAGGCATACCTGATGGAGTCAAACTATTTAAAACTCGACTGGAAAATTATAAATTTCATTATGATCATCAGTTTCAATGCTATCTGAACTTAAGTAAATTTTAGTATCACCAGGTAAACAATCAAGGACTTCTTCATTTATTGCTAATGAATCAACATTTGTTGGTGTTAAAATAGCACAATTAGCATAATCAGCTTCCTCTGTGCCACCGAAAATCTTTTCCACAATAGATTCATTATCATTTACAAAGCACTGCTCAGGTATTTCAATACACCCACGCAAAGGATCTTTAGGCTTGACAGGTAAAGTTCCACTTCCAAGCTTTAGAAGCACTTGAGAAAATTTCTCTTCTCCTATCTGAACTCTCATATTTTCAGTTAATGAAAACCTTTGCACATACTGCCAATGTTCAAAACATTTAAAACACGATTCTACAACTTCAGCTGGTCGACCTCTTTTCACAACTGGAAGTATTTGTCTAAAGTCTCCACCCATAAGAATAACTTTACCACCAAAAGGAAAGTTATTATTACAAATATCTTGTAATAACTTATCAATGGCACTTAAAGCATGTTTAGGAATCATAGATGCTTCATCAAGTAAAAACAAACTTACTTGTCTAAGGAATTCACCATGAATAGAATTTGGAATTACATTACATGTGCTATTTTTCAAAATTGGCACAGGAAGTTTGAATAAGCCATGCAGTGTGCATTCATTTTTAAGAAGAGTTGCAGCTATTCCTGTCCATGCAGCTGTTGCAGTTCTAATATGTCTGATGCGTGTTTCAGTGATTAAATAATTGTAAGTAAATGTTTTACCACAACCAGCAGGCCCATCCATAAAAAACAATCTTGAATGCTTATTTTCATTATTAGGTTCTTCATTAAGTGCAGCAAGGATTGCATCAGCTACATTACGCTGATTATCATTTAATAATGGTCTAACTCGATTTGCTTCATCAATAAATACCTGTACATCTTTATCGTCATTTTCTGGGATAGAATCTAAAAACTGATCTAAAGTAGGCAAATTATAATCAGCTAAAGTCTTACCACTCTGGTTAATTATAGATTCGATTTGACAAAGTGCTACTTGTTCAGCAAGTAGGACTGGCATTGAACGGTGTATGTAATCCTCCACCATATAATCTTTAAAGGTATTCCATAGGTGTAAAGGATCATCAGGTTGACATAATGTTAATATGATGGAAAATAGTTGCCTAATTTGTTTAGGAAATCCAGTTGCAACAGCCTCAGTTAATGTATTTCTCCATTCAATGTCATCTTGCAACAGACCTAACTGATAACACGCTTCACGAAATGTATTAAAAACAGCACCATTCAGAGTGCGCAAATTCTCGTAAGATAATGCACCTTTTACATGCAAAAGCAACAATCTAAGAAAAAATACTTCACTGGATAGATTGACTTTATACATTCGCACTATCACCATATCACTACCTCTTTGTCTTACTTTCCACTTGCAATTTTTACCATCAAACACAAAGTGATATGGAATTTCAATATAAGAATAGCGACGTGCTTCAAAATTTTCAGCATTTAATTTAAACCAAGCAGTTAGGTGAGTGTCACGCTGTGCTGCACGATTAATAGCTACTTTTTCTTCTCCTTCTTTAAAATATACTATCTGATTACCAGGAAGGTGCACTTGAAGGCAAATAATGGTATGTGACATATCACTTATGGAATACTCATATATTTGCCAAAGAGCCTCTGGTGCAGAAACAAAGCGACAGTCTAAATATGTGTTAATTTCATCATGGTGAACACTTTCATTAATTACCACATTAGCACAATCATGCCCCTTACATATATATTTGTATAAACACTTAACTGACATATTGGACATGCAAGCCTCAACATTATTGTGGGCTTGGTATTTTTTTGATAACCAGGGGTTATAGGGTACAACCCATCGATTATCAACTTGGTTACCTTTTATAACAACTACTCTACCATTATCTAAACGTCTATAGTGTGGATATCCATTGAAAGTTGAAACAGTATAAAGATTGAAATCTTTAGGAAAACCTTTTGTGCAAACCCCATCCCTCATGCACGATGAATTGGGATTTAAAATCCGCATGGTCCATGAATCATACATGTTTTTACAATTTCAAAAAGTTCAGGATCAACAGTTTGATCTGGAATTTCAGCTGATATTAAACTATCAATATCCTCTGCTGTTTCTAGCCTATCGTTATTTACAAAGTGTAATAAAATATGTACATGTGGCAAACCACGTTTTTGAAACTCAATAACCTGTACATGACTTATAACTTTGCCTAAAACACCTTTTTTAAAAATATCTTCTAAGAAGCATTTAAGTTTCATTTTAAATACACGACTAACTAAATCAGGTCTGCCACTTGCACATTCATCTGGATTTAAATTTTCTGTAATTTCTCTCCATTTTGGATTACAGGTAAAAGTAATAAAAAGATCTGGTTTGCCATATTTCTTTATAATTGCCATTGCATCCTCAATATTTTCTTTTAAAGCTCTTGGGCTTCCAACATATGAAGATGGCAGTACAACAATACGCCCTGGTCTTATGTCACGATTATTTGCAAAGTTGTTTACATGTTCATTTAATGTATCATATTGTTTACTTCTAAGTTTGCTTTAGTTATTTCTGATGAAGGCAAGGCGTTGTCCTTCAATCTTGACATATGCATCAACAGCATATTGTTGAAAAAGCTTCCTACCATAAAATATAGGGCTAAAGGTTTCTCTAACAGATAGCCTATAATTGTTGTACTGAGACAAAGTAACATGATTTCTAACACGTGTTGCTCTGTCTGGATTGTGCTCTAGTTGATCATGCCATCCTGCATCGCCTCTTGGAAAAAAAATTGGATATATCATTGGATCTAGATTAGCAAACATACTTGATATTTTTTTTAAGGCCTGACCTCGAGGGTGTATAACAACTTCTCTAGATGGAGGTGGAGCACCATCGTCTCCTACAAACACAATGGCAACCTCATCGTGTGAAGGTAGATTGTATCGACGCCTATCGCGACCTTCAAGCAATGACATTTTGACAACTGAAGTTGGGCGACCTTCTAAAGCTGCTTGACGCATTTCTTCATCTTCAACTTGTGCCATATTTTTGAAAGCAAGAGCGTATGGATTCTGTTGACTAATTATAGTCTGTAAAAGTTCCTTTAACTCCCGTATGCAACAATCATTTTGCTCCATTCGAAAATTTAAGGCAGTATTGGGATCATAAACATATAACTGACAATAAGATGGTAAAACATTTTGATCAGGTCTCAGATTACCAACACGGTGCATAATTTGTCCACAAATCCTAAAACATGGTGGGCCATGATTCGAGGGAGGAGCTATTCCAGCTTCAAATGAAGCAAAAGATAGACAGGCATTATAATTTCAAATGTGATTAAAGAAATTTTTATTTAAAGCACGATCAACATGGTTGCCTTTCATTAAATCCATCATTAGTGGTGGATAAGGTGAAAGCGGTTCTAACACAACTTTTCCTGAATGGCAGCACAAAAAATGTGTTTCATTTAAAAACTTTTTAGCACCACAATATTGAAAAATATGGTTCATTTCTCCAAGGTAACTCCTCTTTATAATATTATTATTTCTTGCTATGCAATGCATTCCACACCTAAGTAATGCACGCCTAGTCGCATTTCTTTCATTTTGGCGACAATTAAGTTCTTCTCGCCTAGTCGCATTTCTTTCATTTTGGCGACGATTAAGTTCTTCTCGCCTAGTCGCATTTCTTTCATTTTGGCGACGATTAAGTTCTTCTTGCCTAGTCGCATTTCTTTCATTTTGGCGACGATTACGTTCTTCTCGCCTAGTCGCATTTCTTTCGTTTTGGCGATGATTAATTTCTTCTCGCCTAGCCATGTTTCTTTCATTTTGGCAAGTTCTCCTAATTTCAGCTCTTAAATTATTTGACATGATAAAGCAACTATGTTTAGTTTGATAAAACTTGATTTGTTTAATTTTTTGCTATACTTATCTAAAATGAACGAACATAATGAAAGACATAACAAACATAATGAAAGACAATTAATTTATCAATCTAAACTATATATCTAAACATATCTACATCGTCGGCTCGGGATGCAATTGTCCTATCGCAAATTTTTAAAGTTATATATAAACTTGTAATTATCTAATATATGTAAATTTAACATCATATATTAATGAAAGAAGTTTTTTTTTAACGTTATATTAAATAATTTATAATAAATAATTTTTTACCTTTACATAACTTTTAACTTACATAATTACGTTATTACATTATTACAATTTTAATAAATTTGCGATACGACAATTTCATCGCGAGCCAACCACATATCTATATATATCTACATATATCTATATATAACTTTATCTATATCTATCTATCTATCTATCTATCTATATATATAGATATATATAGGCATACACTTAACTGGTTTAGAAAAGAAATATACATAGAAGCTGAGTTTAGGTTTAAATACTACATGTTGTATTGTAAGTAGTAAGACAAATAAAACATTTTTAAAAAAATAAGAAAAAAAATGATAGTAGTTTAAAAAAATTTATAACTGAATATTAAAGAGTAAAAACTATTTTGTAAATTAAAAAAAAAGACATGCCAACTTTTACAAACAAAAATTGATGAAAGTCATATCATCCACATGTGGCCGATACCTTCAATAATTTAAATACTTTTTTTAATATCTAAATGGAATAGACATTGTATAGAGTATATATATATATATATATATATATATATATATATATATATATATATATATATATATATATATATATATATATATATATATATATATATATATATATATATATATATATATATATATATATATATATATATATATATATAGTTATAGAACAGTAAACTGTCTAGTATAAAGATATTGGTAAAATTCTTTTAAAAACTTAGATTATAAAATAATTATAAATTTTAAAATTCAAAAAAAGAAAAAATACTGGGAAAAGAAAAACACAAGAAAAGGTACCAAGTTGTAGTTTTCAGATTTAGAGGTATACGCGTTGCAACTACCTTTTTTATCTTTTTTCAAGCAGTTTTAATATTTAGTAATAGTTTTTTTTTAATAAATAATGAAAATATACATTAACTTTATTGCTATGTTAATTTACACAGTTTTAAATTGTCAAATTTTAAAGTCTTTTTTACTGTAATTTCATTTTAAAACACTTCCATGAAAAACTATGTAGAACTTTTAAAAATGATGCTATCAAGCTAATTTTTGTTTTATTTTGTGACTTATTCCTGACTCTATGCAACTGTATCAGTAACTCAGAAGATTGGTACTTTTTACTGTAAGGCACCCATATGTTAAATAAAAAAGTCATAAACGCCTTTATTGTTTAAAATCATTTCCAACATTGGCAAAATTTATCTTAGGAAGGGTAAAGAAAAACAACAGTGCTTATTGTAAAATTTTATTTTATTTATTTGTATAATTTGTATAATTAATTATAATTATAATTATACGTAACACCCCCTCCCATTTCTTCTCCTTCTCCCCCAACGAAAAGAGGGGAGATCTGCCCCATTATTTGAGACCCATATCCTATGGGCCTAGTAGGATATGGGCCCTGGTTGATTAAAGCCTCATATGACAAATCTAAAATGATAAAAGTAACAAAATGAATCTTATGCAATATTAAATAAACAAATTTGAATCTTATACATTATTATAAAAATAAAAAAGAAATTAAGAATTTAAAAGAATAAGTAAACATCACATTTTACAGTTACATAATAATAACACAGTATTCATACTAATGAAATATAAAACTAAAAATTAACTTACCAGCAGCAGCTGCACTTGTAGCAGATGATGACGAAGATGCTGTTGTTGTTGTTGTTGTTGTTGTTATTGTTGCTGATAAAGTATGAAAAAAATTAACTAAATAAAATATTAACAGTAACTAATAATTATTCTAGTTATAATATAAAAAAAGCTGTTTATTTACCAAGAGTTGTGGCAGCTGCTGCCATTGACAATGATGGTGTTCGGGCTATATATAATCAAAAAATCTATGATTTCATAATACATAAGAAACTTTACAATAAAAAAAAGCTAAATTCTTTTATATGTTTAAATAAAACAATATGTTTACATAATATGGTGATGTGTATACCACCACCATATGTATGCATATAATCATTATTTTTTGGAAAGAACCAAGTTATAAATTTATAAAGTTATAGATATTTTCATACAGGATTGCTCCTTCATCTTCTTTAAAAAATTATTAACGAAAGAGAAAAAAAGATTTTATTAACATTTACTATGTAAAGTGATATTTTAAATAATTAAATAAAACATGAGTATTACAGTAACAAATAAAAAGTTTAATAATCAATACAATCTAAAATCTTACACATTTATACTAAAGTAGCATGAGCTATTGATTATGACACAATGAAAAAAAATTCAATCAAATTATAAACTTAATCAGTAATAAATTTAAAAAAAGTTTAAAAATCAAAACTTACAAAACATTTGTTGAAAGTTCACTACAAAAAAAAAAAAATACTTATACTAATACACTTTATGTCTTTAAAAATTTAAAACAATAAATTTTAAGTAAATAGAAAACTAACTGTTATTAACAAAACATTGAATAAAAAATTGAGTTTTTTTTACCTGATTGTGGTTGTTGTTGTACTAAAAGAATTAATACAGATTAAAAAAAAATACAATAGTAAAGAAAAAGAAAAAACAAATTATTTAGAACTTTTTAAAAAAAGATTAACATTCAATAAAACAAAAGGTTTTTTCTTACCATATTGTAATTGTTGTGTTTCTAGTTAAAATATAAAAAAAGATAAAAAGTAATAATTAAGTATTAGAAAAACAGTTTGATATCAACAGCACAACAAATAAAAATAAGTTTTTTATAAAAAAAAGATTATTGAAAAACGTATAAAATTAATTTCTTACCAGGTTGTTGTTGCACTACAAATTAAAAAATGTGTAGTATTAAAAAATAAACACGCATAATATTTTTTTTTTTAATAGAAATCTTTTTTAAAATTTTTTTAAAAAGAGACTTTAAATACATTGAAATTTTTTTTTCACCTGATTGTAGTTGTTGTTGCGGTTCTAGAAAAAATATAAATACAGATTAAAAAAAATACATTAGTGAAGAAAAGAAAACGACAAAATATTAGGAAATTTTTAAAAAAAAGATACAAATAAATTGAAACAAAAGGTTTCCTTCGTACCAAAATGTGGTTGTTGTTGAGCATCTGCTTAAAAAAAAAACAACAGATTAAATAATTAAGTAAAAGAGAAAAAATATTATCAATGGCACAACAAATACAAAATAGGTTTTTTGTAGGTTTAAGGGGCTATAAAAAGTATAGAAAAAATTCTTACTTTGTTGTGGTTGCACCACTAAATAAAAATATGTTCAGTATTAAAAATAAAAAAAAAATACAGACAACTTAAAAAAAATGTGGTTTAACTAA